GATACCACAAGTAAGAAATTATCCTGAAAGACAAACATAACACTTGTAGTAGACTTAACTTTCTGAACTAAAGAGTATGTGACATTTGTTTGATATGCGAAACATTTTTACGTGTGACCGACAAGTTCCACTACCTAATATAAGGATTACATAAACTGTATTTTACCTGGGTTCTTAGTTCCTTAAAAAAAGCAACCCCTATAGTTAATTACATATTAAATGACTGAAATCACTTAAAATAACTCTCAATAAAGATCATTGGTTTTGTCTTCAAGATTTCAAAATTTAGTTTTCAATAAAAGATGTAGGAAAGTAAAAGGGGAATGACTCAAAATAAGAACAACTATTTTTTGGAGTTAGAAATGTGAAAAAGTAAAAGATGTCACGGATCCGAGGAGAACCTCGATGACTTTCCAACTATCCTAATGTTCGATTTTATGTCTTAAGAGTAAAGTTATTTAATATTTAATCTTGCCGGTTTTATTATTTAGGATTTACATTCGCACGATATCTAATTGTGTCAATGGCCTAAGAAGATAGAAGGATTTACATCGTACCGGACGGCAACTTCGGAATGCACAACAGGATTGTGCAAAAGTCTAAAAGATGAGGTGAGGATTTATGTCGCGCTAAGCAAACCAACTCGAAGTCTTATGGGTTATGTTATGTATTATATAAGAAGGTTCAGCTGATGTAAATCTGCTCTAGTCTTGATTCGTCAACAGAAGTCCTTCACTCGCATCCTCATCGTGTTGCCCACAATGTTTACTCAAAGCTCCACGTAGTAGCAGTTTCAAGTTTAGTGTTTTATATGTGAGCGTGTAATATTGTTAAGTTGGTAAGTTGATGTTGTGTATCTACTAAACCGGGCTACCTTTCTTTATCTTAAAGCTCTTGATATTTAACAAGCAAAAATAAAGATAAAAGAACTATAACAGCGTTGTAAAGAAATGCAGCAGGGAGCACAGTAAAGAAAATAAACAATAAAATGTAATGTAAAGTAAAAGACAGTAGAAAGTGCAATAAATAAAATAAACATGTGTACCTTGAAGTCTTTGTCACTGCTGCAGAAGTTTGCATTACATATAGAAACAAACGAGCATGAAGAAGAATTTAACAAGCAGGAAACTTGTGCATTTATGTAAGAAGAAAAAATGACAGTGTATCACACGAAAAATTCGAAGAAAATTACAAATGACCCACAAAAGAAAAAAAACTCAAAGAAAATCGTAGGAAACATACAAAAAACCAGAAGAAAATCACAAGTGTCCACAAAAACTCAAAGAAAACCATAGGAAAAACGTGAAGAAAAATTGTAAGCATTCAGGTAGGGGTAGGCTCAACTTAATTATTCCTAAATTCCTTTAAAGGGTGGAAAGTCTGTAGGACCTGATGATATCCCAATTGAAGTGTGGAAATATTTGGGAGATTTGGGAGTTTCTTGGCTTACTAAACTCTTTAATATTATTTTAAAAACTAAAAAGATGCCTGAGGAGTGGAGGAAGAGTATTTTGATCCCCATTTTTAAGAATAAAGGGGATGCACAAGAGTGTGCAAATTATAGAGGAATTAAGTTGATGTGTCATACTTTAAAATTATGGGAGAGGGTAATTGAACATAGGTTAAGATGCATCACGAAAATTTCTCATAATCAATTTGGATTTATGCCTGGCAGGTCTACTATGGAAGCTATACATTTATTGAGAGGTTTGATGGAGAAGTTCAGAGATAATAAGGAGAATCTACATTTGATTTTTATTGATTTAGAAAAAGCTTACGATAAGGTTCCAAGAGATATCCTTTGGAGAGTTCTCGAGAAGAAATGTGTTGATATGACTTATATTCAAGTCATTAAAGATATGTATACTAGAGCTGTTACTTGTGTTCAAACTGAAGGAGGATTGAAAAAATATTTTCCTTTTTCTGTTGGTTTACATCAGGGATCGACTTTAAGCCCATATCTTTTTGCTTTAGCTATGGATGGTCTTACTGGAAATCTACAAGAGGATGTACCTTGGTGTATGCTTTTTGCTGATGATATTCTTCTCGTGGATAAAACGAGAGAAAAAACCCAGGAAAAACTTGAATTATGGAGGTCTACATTGGAGTCTAAAGGCCTTCGTTTAAGTAGAACTAAAACTGAATACATGGAATGTAATTTTAGTAGTAATAGCTCTAGTGACAGAAGTGTGACTTTGGGTGATCAAATTATTAAAAGGTGTGAACGATTTAGATATCTTGGGTCCGTTGTCCAAAGCGATGGTGATATAGATGGGGATGTTAATAGTAGAATTCAAGTTGGTAGGTTGAAGTGGAGGAATGCTTCGGGCCTTTTGTGTGATAGAAAAGTACCGCTAAGACTGAAAGGAAAATTTTATAAGATGGTGGTGAGACCTGCAATGCTCTATGGCGCTGAATGTTGGCCTTTAA